AAAACGGTGGGCACCTCGAGAAGGCAGGGGTTGTCTTGATAATGAGAGGCTATATTTTGCGCGTCAATTATCCTTGCCCACCCTCTAGAATGATCTACATAACTGGGTGTGAATATTCCCCATGAAGAATCTTTTAATTCAATGAACTTTTTTCTCTTTCACACCATAACAGACGCAAACAATTTCTAGAGGGAAAATGTTCGATTTAGTGTATGAGGAAAGTTTTCACTTTTTCCCCAAATGACAATCTGCAAAGGTAGCCCAACAAGTTGCTTTCCCACAGTTTAGGCAGAACAACTATCCAAGGAAGAAAATAAATGGGGAGAAAAAGACTAAATACGTAGTACAGATACACAGAATCTTGTATGTTGAAGAGAAATTACATAGGGTTACTCTTTTTTTATTTCACTCCTATACTACTAAAATCCAGACCATCCAATGAAACCATATATTCTTCATTTAGGTCGTGGCTGTGAAATTGGATATCACAATAAGAAAGGATAGCCAGCAATCTACATGTTTTTAGAGGAGTTTACATAAATGTATGAAGCACAGAAACCAAGTAGACAGCTGGTTTATATACCGTAAAATAGTGTTTAGCCTTGTCTATCCTTCCTCCACTAACCCCTAGAAGGCAGTAAGCATGTTTGCTGATCAGGCACTTGGGGACCTAAATTAAAATGTATATTCTATGAATTAAAAGGCTAATAATATATCAAATTTATATTGGCCAACTTACAGATACTCTTTTAGAAGAAAAGACAGAAATTTGAGTCACATTTCTTGCACAAGCATCTTCTGTAAGAACTGTGGATTAAAGCCTCTTTTATCTGGGGGTAGTTAAAGAAATCCTGTTGACTGGTTCTGCTGGAATAGTGCTCCAAGGTAAACGCAGTGAATTAATTGGTGAAGCCCTATGAACCCACAATGCCGATTTCAGAAAAGAGAATGGAAAATTGAAATGCCCCAAAACACAATTTTTTCTTCCCCTTACTCAGTCATCAAAACAGAATCCTGCTGCCAACACGGATATTTCAATCCTGGTTAACTTAATAATAATCTGAGTTTAGGCAAATGCAGGGCAGCTGAAACCTCATCATCTACTTTTCAGAATGACTGCAGTAGTAAACCCCGCTTAGCTCCACAGAACTTATTCTTTAATCACAGGTGTGCACGTGTGTGTATGTGAGAAAAATCACAAGCTACCAAATCCACAGCTTAAATCTTACGGTCAGCCATGAGTTCGCCGAGTGGGCCATTCCCTTCTTTCTTCCATGGCCAACGCTTTGATGCGGTCGCAGTTCCCAGGCACTTAGATGAGCTTAATGAAGCCGAGGTGGCACAGTGGTTAGGGTGCAGTACTGCAGGCCACTTCAGCTGACTCCTATCTGCAGTTCAGAGGTTCAAATCTCACCGGCTCAAGGTTGACTCAGCCTTCCATCCTTCCAAGGTGGGTAAAATGAGGACCCGGACTGTGGGGGCGATATGCTGACTCTGTAAACCGCTTAGAGAAGGCTGAAAACCCTATGAAGCAGTATATAAGTCTAACTGCTATTGCTATTGTTAAAGTTAAAAACGTCCAGCTTTCAGAACTTTAGGTAAGTTTTCA